TGACCTTCCGGGGGTTTAAAAAAATGCTTTAAGGGGTTGAGCAATATCGCAATAATCCCCTGTCAAATGTCAGTCAAGCTCGGCAATAATACAAATCATCATCCAGCTTAGCCTTTCCCCAATTTAGGGTGTCAAGAGACTTAAAGAAATTGTTAAATTAACCATCAGCCATGAAATCCTTAATTTTCATAAAAAGATCAAAAGCATGTGGATTTGGGTAATTAAGCCACTGTAAGCCATAGTTAATGTTAAATGCCATGTCCACACTTCAAACTAGGACAGGATCCAATGACACTGAAGGTTGAACTGGATACCCAATGACACTGTGCCTAGTGTAGGCTAACAGTAACTGACAAGTGTCAATTACATCTTTACAACACTATCCTTATGCAACTATGTGTTGCAATACTCAGCTTAATACTCAGCTTAAAGCTATGTCCCTGCTCAACAGGTAAGAGGTACTACTCTATGGAATATTCAATGTATAGTACAATGGAATAGTCAGTTTTTAATTGGTGCAAAATCATACCAAAGCAACCCATTCAGGGATCTTTTAAAGGGGCTATGACTCTTCATTAAGCCCCAGGACATGCTATAGAATGCAGTCTTATAGTGAACAGTAGTCCACCCAGGGCTATTCAGGACAATACAGGACATCAAGGAATCAAAACTGTTTATGCTAATGTTAATAACAATGTTCCACAGAGTTCATTTTAAATGCAACCTTTTGGGTTTTCTGAACACTGCAACTCCTGTAACTTGACAGGAACTTGCCAGCTTGCATTGAAGTCAATGGCAGATGTGTCCCTCCTCCAATTGGCATCAACTCTCCTGTAAGACACTGTGGATCTTGCAGCGCATCAGGAGATGAACGGCTTTGACAGATGCATATGTCACCCATACTGTACTGTATGTGCAGGTCCTCATTCTCTCCATGCAGCCCAGAATGCATGCAGCCCGTAATGGCAAAACAAGCATGAAACAACAGGCGACTCAAAACTGAGTGGGTACATAAAGACTCTACATTACATTTAATTTTAAATAGAGTTCTTTGTTAGCACTGCAGAAAGAAAGCACACAGAAACTGTAACAAAACTAGATTTCTTTAAAGAATTTTAGATATTAAGAAATTAATTAGGTTAGGATTATTTGTTGAGGATCATAAATACAATGCATATAACACTTGTCATGACAATAAAGAGAGGAAAGAATGACAACACGTTCATGCACACAGTATACTGCCAAATTCCAAATGACAATATACAGTACTATGGTAAACCTTTATTAGGCTTAGTACAGAAAAATTAAAAACTGTTATTAAAAATCAAATAGAAAAAACATTTGCTTTAAATGGAACACTACCAGAAGTAAATATCTCACAAAAGTGTGTCCAGACAAACATCATCTTTGGCAATAACAATCTATTAGGAAACACTACCATAATATCAGTCAAAATTGAGGACATTTCTGCAAACTTGGCAGAGATGAGAAACAGAGAAAACTATTTTTTTTATTTAGTGTTAACAATCCTGGAATGTAATAATTTTTTTTTTCAGCAAAAGAAAGTTACAAAAACTAATAGTATTTTTATTTAGGTAAAATCATTTTCTCCAGAAATAAACATTATAAACAAAAATGTTTTTCAGGTGTGCTTAAGTTTTCAGGCAGATAAGGAAATAAGGAAATGTAAATAATGGTAAGTACTTTTCCTTGGTGATATTCACCTTACAAATTGTAGCTCTACCTTAAAAGTTGCTGCAGCTTTACATTAATTTTAATGTTTTAAATTGATCTTTGAAGCAAGGGAACAACAAAAGAAAGACACAACTTCTAGTTAGCTTTCATACCCAGTCTTATATGATGCCATAATGAGGCTGAGCATTTCACTTCTTTACAGAGGTACAGGTCATATGAGCCAATTACAGAGATATGTAACCATATTTTGTCTTTCAGTAACATAAGTTACTCTTTCTTTAGTTCTCTGGTAGAGGGGTTTAAAGGGAATCATCTGGCCATCACAATCTCCAGATTTGATGAGATCCGGAACTAAACAAATGAGATAAACAAATGCTGTTCTCCCCCTTCCCTCAGCAATGTCCTCACTCCTGTAAACAGGGTTTGTTGCAGCCTCCAGAAGAGAGACATCCATATACTTGTGTCTTCTCCATGTCCCAGTTCTGCAAATGTGGAAGCCAAATGGGGATTTTTCTAAATGATGTTCACTTCATTTTAGCAGACCCACAAAGTGGATACTGTTATGCCATGAGAAGCTCTCAAATTCTGCAACCTTGTGCCCTGGACTCATCAGTTTTGCTGTGTAAGTATTCGTAATATTTTCTTGTTCCCTTTGTTCACTTGCTTTGTTCACTTCAATTACTGAATTTTTAGAAGCAGTGTCTACTGTTAAACTGGCTGCTTCAGTACATCTTCGCATTTTGGTTAGGAATCGTATTTTTAATTCGGGAACAGCAAAGATACCCTGTCATATTGTGTCTCTGCCATCGGTGATGGTTTGCCAACCCAAATGAAATTAAAGCAGACAGTAGAAGCTCGGGTGCCAGTTACTATACCAGCACACCACTCATGTGAGGGAACAAGTAAAGGTTTATTCCATGATGAAAAGAAAAGAGATGGTGAACTAAATGTTTCTTCATTTATACTGGACGTTAGTTTTTCTCTGGCCCAGCCAAGACAGAGTGTAAGAGCTGGAATGAAAATTTAGTGAGTGAACAGAACATGTGAAGATGTGCTCTCATCATCAAATAAACATGCCTCTTTTCTGGCAGCTGCATGCAATGCTACAGTATCTTCTAAAATGCCAGCCTTATTTCCAAATCTAGCATTTTACTTTTATAAAACAATATTCTTGCCAGGTAATTGGGGTGCTGATTGCATACACACTTAAACGATAAACCTACATTTTTATCACTTCCCATCTTAAACATTATGTAACATAAATGTTGTTGCTATCCTATTCCATTAGTTAGTAAGGTCTGGAGACTTCACCTCCTTTTTTAGTTGAAAATCCAAGGCCAATTCAGAAAGATGATAAATGACTAGGTTTACTTTGTTAATGTAAATATACTGGGACTGAAACCGCTGTCTCTAGCAAATTGTCGATTTTTGTTTCACACTATATTAATTAGTTTCTTTAAACATAAAGACGTTTAATGTAATTTGGTATTTAATTTCTGATTAGTAAAACACAGCCCTAGATGAACTATTCCCAAAGGCTGCATAGTACTGTTTGTATTTGTGCAAGCATAAAATCCTCGAATTAACTGATACTCGTGGGCCTTATGCTTTCCAGAGACTGCAGAAGACTGAAGCGTATTTTAAAAAGACCAACTGCTAGAAGCTGTCAATGAATAAACTAAAGGTCTACAGATTAATTTACTGCTGTTCAAAATTAAATGGAATTTTCTGTGAAGTCAGATGCACAATATTTTGATGCTAAACAACATTAGAGGTACAATTAATTAATATACAATTTCACTATTTCTTCTTAGAGTCTTCAGGCTCTTCTAAATTCTAATGATTTCAATTACTAAAGTTACCATACTTTTTTAATTAGGTAAATGAGACACAGGGAGCATCTTAAATCACTCCACTACAGATCATTAAAATCATTCCTCAAGATCAGTCAGTCAGAAGGATATAAGATTTCATCCACTTCTTACAACTACCTGCCACTTTAATATTATGATCTAGGTTCTAATGAGAAGAGTTATAAATCTCATGCCTCAGATCTCATAACTTGACAAGTAAAACTTAGCATTTAAAAACAAGTAAAAAAAAGCATTTAAAGAACACTGTCAGAAAATAAATTCTTGAAAACATTAAAAAAAATTAAAATGCCTTGTGGTAGTATTTAGTTGAAATTCTATACAACAGATTTTGTGACCTAGAATTTTCCTACAGGGAAAGACAGAGATATAACTGAATAGAGAATGCTGACCATGAGTTTTACGAGAGCCAAATAGCTAACCTTGGGTTTTCAGCAGTTCAGGCTTATTGTGCCACCTGAACAATATCCTTTACAAAACTTGTTACGGGCCACACCCAAAGACTGTGAACGATTAAGGCTTGTAAGTTTAGCCTGAAAGTGTCAAAAATTATCACAACCTATTTTGCACATATCTGTAAAAATGTAGCTGTTTCTATTGCCAAATCACTGTTATCTTAAAAGTACAATGCTATTTTCATTAACCCACTGACATCTAAATATTGTTCACAAATGTAAAACTTGAAATGTCACCTTTAACTGCAGAATAAGAAGACTGTAACAAGGTAGATGAAAAGGTTATATAATTAAGGAACCAATTGCAGACCTAGTATGCTTGCAAAGATAACACATTATAAAAAATCTCTTTCCTTCTCATATGCAGTCAATGTAGGTTGATTATAGAGGTGTATAACTATTTTACAATGTTAAGATTACACAGAACTACTATTTAGTTCTGTACATTTATATATTTATAAAGCAGACATAAAATTGACATTTACTTTGTTAATAAAATATATATGTTATCTTTTGTTTCAGCCTTTTTAAACATACTTCCACATGGAAAGGACGCTTCTCAATGAAAATCCATTCATATGCATACAGCTTATGTTCTGCCACTTTAAAAAAACTCAGAGCTAGTTCCACTTCAAATACCTCTTCAGAAACAAAACAAAAACAAGAAAAATGTATTCTGACAGATAAAACCCAGCATGAAATGAGGACAAAACAAGCACTGATTCTTGAGATGGATATCCAAAACAGTTCAAAGCTTTTCACCTGCTCACGACTTCTATCGGTGCACTGATCGTTAAGTACTAAAGTTATGTAGTGAAGTCAAAAATGTAAAAAAAAAGTAGATATTGCAGTAACTGATATAACTTCATATCAAATAAGGAATTCAAATAAGGCCATACAGACTCCTAGGAATGGGCTTATGTATTACATATATCATAAGGAATCTACAAGGAATTTCCAAGGAGAGGCAGAGGCCTACCTTCTGTGGAAGTCCAGGAGCTGATCCATACTGAATCATGGGTGAAGGGCCCATGGCCTGTGGTGGGTCAGTGATGTAGGTCTTCTTAGGAGCAGGAGGTTGGTACCCTGGGCCAGTGGCAGAAGTCGGGTAATGGGGTTCTGGTCTCCAGGTGTTGTGACCTCCATATGCAGGACTCTGCATCCCCACTCCTTGGTAGTGGAGATCAGGGTAAGCTCTTGGAGGTGGAGGAGCGTACCCATGGGTCAGCTCAGGCTGACGGCCCGGCTGGGGTGGCCCATAGGCAAAATCTGGACCACGGGGTTGGGTGGCCATGTACTGAACTGGAGCTTGGGAACGAGCTGGCTGCTGGGGATACTGCTGTTGGTGGAAAGCAGGGGACAAGCCCTGGGTGGGCTGAGGACCTTGAGGCATGTAGTGAGGGCTGGGCTGGGCCGTCTTGACCTGCACATTGAAAGTCGGCCGGCTGGGAGTGGAGGCGGTCGTATAGGAAGCTGGGACAGGCTGAGGCGGGGGTGTGGGCTGCGGTTTGGGCATTGTGGGGGAAGCAGCAGGGGGCTGCGTGGCAGCCTGAGGCTGAGGCTTCGCAGTCGATTTCTTCGTGGCTGTCAAGGGTGGCTGGGTTGGAATGACCATCCGTTTGTGTCCAGTGACAGGTGTGGATGAACTGGATGTGGTCACTGGGGTAGTCCCATAGTTCTGAAAAAGAGATAAAGAAAGCAACATTTGAAATTTAAATACTGTAGGTTTAACAGGGGAGAGGGGCTTTACAGAAACAGTCCGAATGGGAAGCATATCTGGACAAGGGCATTCCTCTACAGTGATTTATTCCATGTAGATGGTAGATGTAATTTCAGAACTTCCCTGAACATTCCCTTCAGCTCTGGAGACTAAAAACAGGACTTTTTCCTTCTCAGCATTTCTAACCCTAAATCCACCAAGATTAAATAAATACATTGACTTCTTAAAACCCCATATAAACATGAAAATAAATCTAAGACATTTACAAAATATTACATCACAGCATATTTTGCACCTGTCATAAAACAGGGATATTTCAGGACTATACACCAATGTTTTTGCAAATCTTACATGAATATACTGTATATTTATCTTTATGTACACTATCATACAATCGTTAAGAGCTTCTGGCACAGGTCGAAGCATAAATTACCAACAGGAGCTGTTGCATGCCTGCTGGAAGTTATCTATATGATGCTGTACAGCTAAATTAATTAGCGTGATGTCTTAGTTTCAGGAAAGCATTAAACACTGCTGTAACAAGCCCATAACCTATGGAGCTGAGAATACATTTCAGTGGCAAAATCATGGTGAAGGATTGTCAAAAAATACAGAACACTAGGACTACCACACCACCTCAACTTCCGTCTTATGCGAAAAAAAATAATAGGTGCTCAATTCATTCTCATTACAGGAATAGCATAGGCATTAATTTTTGACTGCTTCTAAACGTATGCAGTCATCCTGAATGGTATATGCAACTTTTGTTTTTCATTCTCTTCCGTATCTTGTATTAGGCAATTCGGATATTACCTTACCTGCAATTCATACATTCAATCATGACACATTACAGACAACTAACAGCTGCTCTCTATTCCTTTATAGGAATGTGCTGGCTAACACCTCAGGAGTTTCATAAAAAAAAGTTATGACCAACTGAAAACAACAACAACTACAACAAGGCAACCTAAAATAATAAAAATATTATTTGACTGAAAACTGATGAAAAGAGATACCCACTGCAACAGCAAACTTCAACATGGGTATACTGTATTAAGCCAATTTTGCAAAAATAAAGCCTACAACAAGGTTATATCTATGACTGATGTCAGTAATGTGTTCTAGTATAAAAAACATACCACTTATATTGCAGATCAATATCTAAAATATATAAAATATTACGACAATGAATAAACCCAAACTCCCTAGAGTGATTCTATCTGTTAAAAAGCTATAGACTACTAACTAACTCAAATATGGCTTCCAAATGATAACTCCAAACTAACTGACTCTCAAAAGCAGTTAATCAGCTACTGGTTTTCAGAGTGCCTGTGCTACACATTCTCATGAAGACTTATTTTATTATTTTACCTATGCACAACTGCACACAAAAGAATGGTGAAGCCCATTAATTCTCCAGGAGTCCCTGACAGGAACACATACTTTCATACTCTAAGGCATTAAAACACTTTATTAAGGCAGTTGGAATCCTGTGATACTGTGACATCAGATGAAGTCTAGTAACTAAAATAAAGCTTGCAGCCTGCTTATTTCATGCTCTGCAGCACAAATGATTTTCTATTGGTACTGTGCATGGTTTCTATGGTTTTAACTATTAGTACAGGCAACCATGTTGAAAGAAAATAGTGCTGGACTTTAATAAGCTAATAATCTATGTCTATCTATCTAAAATCACAGTGAACTGTACTCTTATAAGGTCACCTGTTTTGATTTATTGCAATCTGGGAATTATAAAAAATCTCTAATAAATATAATAATCCCTTGCATTTATATAGAGTGTTTATTATTTCATAGAATCCCAAAATGCTGCATATACAAGAGGGGATACACTTCATACACCATTGAACCAAATCGCCCACCTGGGTCAGACAAGCCCACTATACAGCTGATCAAGTTGAAAGGTGAGAGTCCAGGATATGCAAGCTTGAGGTAGAATTTAACCAGTAGCCATAGTCAACACTAAGAGGGCAATAGGATTTTTAATAACTGAGGAGTCAGAACCTCATTTTAAAGTCTAATCTGAAGGCCGGCACCCCATACAAGACAATTATCCCAGTCATCATCATAAGTCTTAGGTAGGGAAATCACAGTCCTTGGGAAAGAGCGCCGACTAATCCAGCAACACCACTTACGGCAGTATCTTAAAGGCCTCCCTTCCTAGTACTCACCAGCTTCTGAGTTCTGATGAGATCAGGCTGCAAGTGAGGGAACAATTCCCAGGGGACAATTTAGAGTAGCCAATCAAATCCAGCTTGCAAGCCTTTCTTCAGAAACTGGAGAACCACACGAAAAGCCATATAAACACAAATGGTGAAACGCGCTTACGAAAGAGGGCTTTAATACCCTTGAACTTGAAGAGGATCAATGTACTCTGCACTGCATATTGTGCAATGCCATTTGGGCTACTATTATTAAAGACAAGCATTATAACCAAGACCAAAGCCTTCTGACCAATGAATAACTCATTCTGATTCTCTAACAAAACAGGCTTCGCTAGAAAATAATGTGATGAAGGTATACTATCCGAAGATAATCCATGATAACAATTTTAACATTTTTCCCAAATGTTTGAAATTGTTATAAGGTTCCTTGATAAAAAAAAGTAGTTATCTCCATAGATTTCATTAACCTAGGACAGTCTTTCCAGGTTATTGCCTGGAGCCAAAAATTCAATTACTGGTTTTATTGCAGGATAAGTACAAAGACTTGATCTTGTATTGCCATGATCATTTTTCAATTAGAGGATATGCTTCGCAAAGATTTGTTAAAATGCCTAATGTTCATAAGCATATTTTATGTTGCTTGCTCCCAGGCATTGGATATGCCATATGAATGAATGTGAATATGGTGTTAAGAGTGATTCAGTTTCTGAAATCCTTTATAAATTTAATTTATGCAAGAAACTTTATCAATCTTGAAGGAACAAAACAATTAATAAAATGCAGTCTCTTAACATAATGACCTGCTTTAAAACAGGATCAAATGTTTTTGACATCAGAAAGCATTACTAATGCATAATACTTCACTCCAAATCAATTTATAAAATCACAGTGACACGACAATCTGTACAATGGTAACTCGTCTTCCATGAAGGTTGCCTTAAAAGTACAGTAGGCAGTTTTCTGAAATAACGACCATGTGTGATGTCCATTAGCAGCAAAACAGGCCACACTGCACTGTGATACTGAATGGATAAGAGTTGAAAAGACAGCCTGAGGTATCATATTGCACTTGCACCCAAGGAAGGTCTTTGCTTGCCAAAGATTCTGTGGCAGTGAATGATACTGCAGACAAAGTCCAAGTACATCTCAGTGGTGTTAAATCTATTCTAGGTGACAAGACTGGCCAGAAAAGGGATGGGATATTTTAACCCCTGAAGGTACTGCATACACACTCCAGCAGCATGATGCTGCATGTGCTGTCATGCTGGCAGATGTGCAGAATGTGATGATGTCTGAAATAAAGCTCCAACAATCCTGGACAAAAATACAATTAAATAATTTTGTCAATAATCATTTACCTGAAACACTGCCATAGCTGTTCTTTCTGTTGTGTTTTGCATATGTGCTGGTAGGCAGCTATTGATGGCACAGAATAACCAGAGAAGAGAAGATCTCTAAAGATTCCCATCTGGTGCTCACACACCCCTGTAATACACGTTTTGATAGTGTACTCTTAAGCCATCCAACTCTTTAAAAATGGCTCGGTTTAATTTAAAATGTATTGAAGCAAGTTAACAGCCCCTGTTTTATCACTGCAAAGAAATGTTCAAAGCGAGACATGTAGGTGGGGAATGGTGAGTCAGAAATAACTTTTTTTAAGTAATGGTATTTCAAAGTCTTATCAATGTTAAAACAATCTGCATTAGAACATCATGAAACCCTGAAAGTCAGAAATGAACTGATACTCCTATTTCCTGAACTGCTCACAAAGGCTTTGCCAACATCCTAAATAAATGAAAGAGTTAAAATTTCCTGTACATGTGGTGGAACAGAGAGGGCACAAATACAGTGTGATGCTCTGCAGTCTGAAGATGATGACAGATTTATACAAATGAAACACCATCTTTTCTTTCAGTCCAGAATGATTTTAGCAGGGAATGGTTCAGATGAATAAAGTAATAACAATGTCAGTACTAGGATGTGTAACAAGTTGTAAGGAATTAGATAAATAAACTTTTAATGAAAAATAAAAAAGGCATTAGTGGGTTCCTATACCTATCTTAACAGACAGATTGTATTGCATACAGTATGCATTCAATTCAAGTATTGCTACAACGAACTCCAATAATAATTGTTTCCCAATAATAAAAAAACATGAATAGCAATCCTACTTATTAAAGTTAAATAACACTTCTGAGTCAATTAAACAAATTAATTTTAAAATCTTTATTTTGAAGGAGACAAATGTATAGACAAATGGACGAAAGTCATTGGAATTTGCCAAAAGATGAAAAGTATGAAGAAAAACTCATTCATAACAAGAGCAGAAAATCTGAATGAACCAAAATCAACTATTTGTAATATACTGTAGAAAGAAAATGGTATTATTAGTTGTCAGCCATGACTGGGTCGGCCAAGAAAAACATTTTCAGTTGATAACAGAAAAATTATCAGAGCACTCAAGGAAAACCCTAAAACAACGGTCAGGGAAATTAACAACCTCCAGAGTGCAGGGGTGAAGGTATCAAAATCTACTGTTCGCAGAAGACTGAGAAAACAGAAAACAGGCTATACCACCCCTTTTTTCAGAACCAAAAACAGAAATAAACTTGGAAGTACAAATATGCACCAAGACAGTTTTGGAACAACTTTTATGGAAATAAATAATTAACTAAAATAATTATACACCAAAAGTGATAGGTTAAAGAATAGAGAAAGAAAGGAACTACAGATGCTACAAAGAACAGCATTCATTGAAATGTACAGTACATGTGG